GGCCTCTGGTCTTTCTCTCTCTGGTCTCTGGTCTAAGGACAGTGATGATCCAGGACATTAAAGAACATTTAGGAACATATCTGGACATCAGTGGTCTGCGCCCTCTGGACCAAAGGCCGAGAGAACACTTCAGGACATTTGAGTTGAAAGTTATTAATATCTTTGTAATGAGACACAATAGAAGACAGAGGGAGTCCCGGCTCAAAATGGTGACAATACTGTGGTATCCATGGGTGTCACCGTCAACAGTGTGTATAATGAGGACCGTTGCCATAGAGACTACTCATTTGTAAACAAAATATTATATTTTCTGAACAAATTGTAAAACAGAAATCTGAAACCCTTGCGTCCGCCGGATCAAAGACGTTATTTCAAGACACTGAAGAATAAAACTGATAAAGCGACAGCAGCTGCATGAGAAAGATCCAGATCCAGTCAGACCTCTGAAGCTAAGCAGGATAGGGCCTGGTTAGTACTAGGATGGGAGACCTCTGGGAACACCAGGTGCCACAGTGGGGCGGCTGCGGCTGTAAAGTTCCAACTGTCAATGTGTCCTTAGGCAAGACACTTCAGCCCCATTACCTGGAATGAGTCTGGTGTGTGTGTGAATAGTTAGTGGTGGTAGATGGGGGCTGATGGACTTTTGATTTTCCTCGCTTCTGTCTGTGTGCCCCAGGGCAGCTGTGGCTACAGTAAATCGTCTATCTCCACAGTGTATGGAGTGGATGAATAACGCTGTGTGAAGCGTCCTTGAATGCACTAGGATGGAAAAGAAAACCTGCACTGCTTTTGCCACTCTTACTTTTAATGTCACTTTTTTATTGTACATAATTATATCCTGCACAGACTATATTTTTAACCTTTAACATGTTCCACATTTCTCCAGTGTGAGATCAATGAAATCTATCTTATCTTATCCAGTCCAAAAAAGTACAGTATAAAACCAGTGCATTATAGCTATTGGTCTTGTCCATCTCTCATCCTCTCACTACTTCACTATAATATTCTCTCCATACTGTTACACACTCACCATCAGAACCCAAACGCTCTCTGCATAAATTATTCAGCGACAGAGTGGACATGGGACGTGCCCCTTTATGCCATTGTATTTTTCATGACCTGCGATAATAAGAGCTGGCCATGACTCACAGAATAAGTGGAATCTGAAACTCATTCGGCTGAAATCCAATTCACTTTATACGGAGCGTCACCTGCCGTCTGGAGGGAGGTTTTCATAACACGGGCTCAGGTGACGGCCCACGCCCCGCTGAGCCAGCTTTAAGGGCGACGACAAGGGAAGAGCACTATCACGGCCCCCATCAGAGCGAGGAGCCAACGGGTTTTGTTTCCAGTCTGGTCACCATCAAAGGGCGAGAGGGTTTGATAAATGCAACCAGGAAGTGTTGATGAAAGGCCCGCACTGGTTCACAGGTGGTTGTGTCATCTATTCCCTCATGTGATGTAACGCCAAAAAGGCTGAGTCACTTTCAGGAGAAATGTCGGGTCATTTTTTAAGAAGAAGCGACAAAGAAAATGTGGCTAAAATGCAGTGGTTAAGTTTGCATGCCTTCAAACGAGCATTTAATGGAGAAGGATGTGGACCAAATATTCCCCTGTAAATAATCCACATCAGATAAGATAAGATGTGCTTTATTTATCTCACATAGGAGAAATTTACAATACAGATACATTTGAAAAGATTTTCTTCCAAATGAAGTAAATAAATGGGATTCTGGGGAGCACATGGTCTGGCCTCCAGTCTTCTTGAAAATGTGAGACAGGCTCCTGGTTTAAAAAGTTTAGTTTTGCTGCAATGGAAGGATTGCATCTTCATCACTTGTGCTAACCTCCAGTCCAATTGATCTGCCAACTACATTTTTTGAGCTTCAAGTTGATGATTTCTCCTAACTTGATCAGCCCTGGAGCATTTGGACCATTTTAGAATCTAATTTAGGGTCTTTTTCTTCTACTTTTAATCATCTGTCGTGGTCATTTCTTTTCCTGTTTAGCACTTTTGAGTTGCCCTTCGTATAAACTGTGCGCAGCACTAGTAAAGTTTCCCAAGTAGATTCTTGTCGTTCAAACAAGATTTATTTCTCCTCATTCTGCAGCCCATGTATAAACAGATAAAGCATTTAATTGGAGAATGAACGTGAAAGTGACATTAGCAAAAGTGATCAGAATGTATGAATCTGTTCTATCTGAATAAAAAAACAACAAGCACAGCTTCACTTAAGTATTTTTTATTTTCTTTAGAAAAAGAAACTATTACAATTTCATTTGGTTACTGTACAGTTTCTCTTCATAGTCACTCGGTCGGATAAAAGGTTGGATTCATGCTGGAAACACCAAACACCCCTTTTACAAATGCACACGGCTAGTTTTGGACATGACGCTAACGTTCACCTCGGCATCCTCCGCTTCTCAGACTCAAATAGAAACCTCTGTACAAAAGTCCCTGACACTGCCTGTGAAAGACCAGGGTCGTGTTTTTCATTAAGTGGTGGTCCTTTCAACGTGCACCTGAAAGTAAAGCAGGAGTGGGCGACGCGCCAAACAAATCTCGTCACTGCTTTTCCTACAACCTGCGTCACAATTCACAGACATTTATATTTATACACGCTCCCTGCTTCTCCTCACAGATGCAAACATGATCGCATCTAACCCACTCGCTCGGAGCATTAACGAGTGAGTACACCACACCGTAAGTACAAGTGGACGTCAATATGTAGCTAGCTGATTTTGCGGCAAATCTGAATCAAAACTCCTCATCACGTTGAAATGTTAGTGTGCGATTTAAAGCGACCAAAGAGCAAATCCACGAGTATTTTTGCTGGAATATTATCGTCCCCTTCCCGCCAGCGACGAGGCACCGTAGCTGTCAAATGTACTTGCTGTCAAACAATGCTAGCTCCAGCAGACTTTAGAGCTAAAAGGCACCTGATTGGTCAGTTATATGGTCGAAAAAAAACCTTCCTTTTGCTACAGGACGAGCACGAAACTCGCAGAAATGCTGCTGTACGAACAATGTAAAACTAACTCCTGGGTCACAGCTTGTAAATACATTTAAACATAATATAGTTATTTAGTATTTATGCGAAAATCTACTCGTTTCACATCGTTGGCTTACTCTTGGAGCTATGCATGGATTATTTTAAAGCTAATAAAACTCATCGACAGCAGCAGGAGGAGCGGGTGCAGACATTTCAATAGAAGTGAATTGGAGGCACTTTGCCGCGTCCACTTATACATACAGTGAGGTGAAGGTGTATTGAGTTGCAATAAACAGAAAAGTGCTGAATCTCCTGCTCTCCCCATGGCTCAAAAACCGCAGTTAAGATCTCTCCGGCCGTGTCGCCCAGCCCTGCCTCAGTCATTTATTTGTAGCTAGTGTCTGTGCGTGCGTCGATACATCAGCACCATAGTTCGGGAGTGATTCTGCCCTACATGAGACAGTGGAGAGGGGGGGAGAGAGGGGGGAGGGAGGGGAGAGAAGGGGGAATCTAGGTCACATGGAGCCCCCTGTAGCAGCCGCGCTCGTAAAGCCTGAACATTCTCCCTTCTCTCGTGGCGACGGACACACGGGGGGCATGCGAAGCTAGAGACCCTTTTCCAAAAAAACCTGTTCTCATAAAATGTGAAGAAAGCGGCACGTGCAGGTTTTTTTAGCGGCAAGAGCAGCGCTACAAGACGCCACGGTGACAGGTTGGATAGAAAACTAGCAGCTCTCGAGTCTTGGGATTGGGCTTTTTGGAATTAGCTGAATAAAACTGGACTTTCGGCTCGTACAAATTATCAATTCAACATTTTTCGAGCCCTTTTTGATGAGAAATGTATACTGTTGATGATGGAACTCAATAACTTTCTAATTCTTTTCTAATGTTCCACTGGCAAACTTTACTGAGTTTCAAGACAAATATCATTTTTGCCCCATTCATTTCATTGTTCTCTGGAAACCGGTAAGAATTGTCCGCAAGCGTAGCAGTTGTTCACTTGCCATTGGTAAAAGCCCGTAGCAGTGGCTGGTTCAAAACTATTGCTTAACTTGCCCAAAAAAATGCACACGTAGCCATAACAAAAAGGGTCAACAAAGAGGATCAAGGGATGTATCAAGTATGACTCCCTGAGAAACTCCATCCTTCTCGCGTACCATAAAACTCATCTATTTTCACTGGCCTATTCAGTAAAACTTGGCTCATATTTAATAAAAGATTACAAAACTTCAGGCCATATAACGTCATTATTCCTCCATAGAATCCACTCCTTTTTGCAGGCAGTAGATGTAACGTTCGTCTAAACTTTCCATTGTCGACTTTCCTGGTTCACTTATGTCTTGTGACTGGATATTCTGTGTTTGTGCGATGATCATAACGTTTGGTTTCTATGTGAGCCGCGTCCTCTGTAACGGGGACGGTGTAGCGCCGGCTGTCCCTCGCTGACTTGACGTCGACATAGCACCAATGAGCTAACGCTAACGCACTCACACATCCTCGTGTAACATACCGAGCTACCACGCAAACACCACGCACCGGGATGGACTAGAAATGGGCTGTTGCTGAAGACGTTGAACTACATAATGTCCTGTGCAGTGACAGCGTTGGTCACTTATGCGTCGGTCTGAGGGAGAATGATGCTCGCCACGTTTCCAGGGAAACCGTGGTGACGATGCCTGTAGCCCTTTAGGTGTGAAGTGTGAAGGATGGAGGTGACAGTGACACGCGTGAGAACACTCGGATACAAACATTTGCTCAATCACACAAACATTTTAAAAGCAGTATCTAAATCAAACCTCAACAAGGCTCAATACAGAAAATTCCACAGTTTTTTTTCAAAATCTTCTGTAAAAAACTCATGAGCGTTTAATGTCTTCAGAGCTCACTAATATTAAAATCTGGGGTGTCGACACCGCGCAGTACAAAACAAATAAAAGAACCAAACCAGTTCAAAAGCTAGTGTTCAGGCCGCCTCCTCCTGAGGAGCGGCAGAGGAGGAGTCTCTCTCTAAGTGACCAGCTTGGGCAGCACTGTGCGCAGGGGGATGGCGTCGCCCGAGTCACCCATCATGGTGCTGCGCAGTTTGCTGGTGGTGCTGGTCCCCAGGCTGGGTGCTCCTTTGATGATGGAGGGGAAGGAGGTGCTGTGCTGCTCGGGCAGTCGTTTCACCACCGGCACCTGGCTCTTGTCGGCGGGTAGCGGCTTGGGCAGCCGGCGGTACAACCACGGGTGTCTGAGCGCCTGGCTGGGGGTGAGGCGTGACGAGGGGTCCCAGTCCAAACACTTCTTTATGAAGTCAGTGAAAGTGGCGTCCTCGCAGCCCTTCAGAGCAGTGGTCCACTCCTTGGAGGCCGGGGGACCCCTCATTTTGCCGCGTCGGGAGCGGGCGCCTGTGAGCACCGTGGCTCCGGTAGGCAGCGTGTTGGCGCCGCAGTAGCGCGGGTGGCCTTTAGAGTTGATGAAGTTCTTGGCTCGTTTGGCCTGTTCCAGAACCTTCTGTGGAGGCATGCCCAGCAGCTCCATGACACAGGCCAGCTGGTCGCCCTCGTCTTCGCCGGGGAACAGCGGGTATCCCGTCAACAGCTCGGCCAGGATGCAGCCGAAGCTCCACATGTCGATGGGGAGGCCGTAGCGTGCTCCCAGGATGACCTCCGGAGCGCGGTAGAAGCGAGACTGGATGTACGTGTAGACGCGCTGGTGCTCGAAGCAGCTGGAGCCGAAGTCAATGACCTGCGGAGGACAGATGGAGGCGGAGGTCAGACACTGGTCTCAGAGGGACAGAGCGTGCAGCGTGTGGAGCTTACCTTGATGCCGCTGCGGCCCTGCTGCTTCAGCAGGATGTTCTCCGGCTTCAGGTCACAGTGGATGATGCGGTGGCGGCTCAGCGCCTCCAGACACTGCAGGATTGAGTGGGCAAACTTCCGGACCAGAGGCAAACTGAAGCCTTGGAACTTGTTCCTCTTGATGAGCTCGTAGAGGTTCATGCTGAGCAGCTCAAAGGTCATGCAGATGTGGTTCCTGAAGGTGAAGTTCTCCAACATGTGGACCACGTTCATGGAGCCGCTGCGGTCCTGTCGCCGCAGGTGCTCCAGGATCCGGATCTCCTCCTGCGCCTGACGGTGGAAGCGCTTCTCGTTCCGCACCATCTTCAGAGCCAGGTGCTGCTGCGTCTTGTGGTCGTAGACTTTGGCCACTTGCCCAAAACTGCCTTTCCCAATGATCTGTGAGAAGGAGCAGAGTCAAGACCAGATCCAAAACAATGTTCTTTTCTCTTGAATAAAGATCTCTCTCGTACCTTGAGAAACTCGTAGCGATAGGCCAGGTGGTCGTGGGGGACGTGGATGTAGCCGCCCTGCTCGTCGTCGTAGCCGCTGTTGTTGCTGCCTCCGGCCACCGCGGGGCGCTTCTTGGCGTTGGGACCCACAAAGTAGACATCCGAGTAGGACAGTATCTCCGAGTGCTCCAAGGAGGACAGCTGCGTGCGGTACAGACGCAGGGCCTGGTCCGGACTCAGCGGGCTGCACTTACTGCCATTACCGCTGGACTCGCTGGAGCCTTTGTTAGACTCAGTGCTGGACGAGGAGAACACAAGAAAACACTTAAAACTATATAATAATATGAAAATGGCTACCAAAACTAGGTCATTGTTTTATGACACCATTAAGCCTTAACTAAATACATTTTTTAAAGTATTAAAGCAATTGTGCATCACAGACTCATACTTTTTCTTTCTCCATTTCATTACAAATATAAATTAAAAACACAATGATTAAGCAGTCTGAACCAGATTTATCCCAGTGAATATATGTTACAGCAGCTTTTTTGTTGAATAGTTGATAAATAATAGATAGATAGTAAATAGTTGAATGACCGAGTTTTCAAAGCTAAACAGAGAGTTTTATCATAGCAGAAACAGGAAGTTGCGTTTCTGACTTGACCGACTCTTGTTCAAACTCCTATAATTTCAAAAAGGAGAAACTAAAGTGAAATGTGGCGCTCACCTGTCTGAGCTGTGCTCCTTGGACAGCACGGGCGTGACCTTGTTGGGCGTGCCTCCGTTCTGGGCGGTTACCGTGGAGATGGCGTTGACTTTGCGGTTGTTGGTTCCGTCCTCATACAGGTACTTGACCTTCAGAGCGCCGCCGCGGATCGAAACCTGGTCCCTCATCACAGTCTTGTTACTCACCACCTGAAGAAAAAGGAAAAAAGCCAACCATGAGACAAAGGTCATTTATGTGTGTAGTGTGGGATTTAAGAGTTAGGACAATTATAATCATTTTCAAAGTGTCAAAGTATTAGTCAACGAGTATTGTGTTGTTTAAAGATACGTTAAGCTAGCAGCTTCTTTCCACGGGCTGTCACCAATTATGATTTCACAGTGACGGTCGTTTCTATACTTTTTTGGCTTGTTTTATTCCTGTCCTTTTAGATCTTTTTGTTTATGTACTGTCTGGAGTACACCGGAGACTTTAGCGCAACTATTCCAATGTGGTTTTCCTGCAAATGATAAATAAATAAATCTGAATGGATACGAGCCATGTGAGTAATATCCAGACTCCTGCTGTTGCTGCTTGTTGTGTGCACTGTGGCCACATTGTCTGAAGTGACGCGGGCCGGGATTGTTAGTTACCGTTGAAAAGTCCGGTTAATTGTGCTTTAAGAGGCAGGTTGGGGGGAGAAAAAACCCAACACAAAACAATAGTCCATTCACGGGTCCTTCGGATACAAAGCAGTCGTTTGAACGTGGCAGAGATAACGCATCAGATTACGGTCATGAGAGAGAGTGAGAGTGAGAGAGTGAGAGAGAGAGAGAGAGAGTGAGAGTGAGAGAGAGAGAAAGAGAGTGAGAGAGACAGAGAGAGAGAGAGACAGGAGACAGACACAGAGAGAGAGATAGAGAGGCAGAGAGAAAGAGACAAAGAACGACAGAGAGAGAGACAGAAAAACAGAGCGTCAGAGACAGAGAGAGAGACGGAGAGCGAGGGAGGCAGAGAGAAAGAGAGAGACAAAGAAAGAGACAGAGACAGACAGACACAGAGAGAGAGCGACAGAGAAAGAGACAGAGACAGACAGACACAGAGAGAGAGCGACAGAGAGAGAGAGCGACAGAGAGAGAGACAGACAGACAGACACAGAGACAGAGAGATAGAGAGCGAGGGAGGCAGACAGACACAGAGACAGAGAGATAGAGAGCGAGGGAGGCAGACAGACACAGAGACAGAGAGATAGAGAGCGAGGGAGGCAGACAGACACAGAGACAGAGAGATAGAGAGCGAGGGAGGCAGAGAGAAAGAGAGAGACAGAGAAAGAGACAGAGACAGACAGACACAGAGACAGAGAGAGACAGAGAGAGAGAAGCACTTGACTTTTACAGTAGCTCAAACACGCGCGACCGGTTTAGAGACGAGACAATGGAGACTAGAATCAACAGAAAAACAAGTTCATCTTAACCGCATTATTGCAAACACTACATAATCAAAGGCAAAAAAAACAGAAGGATTTGTTGTTGAATAGAGGAATTAAAATTGTATACAACTGCCTGCAACTTCAATAGAATAAGAAAAACATTATGCCTTATGTCATAAAACAACCAGAAAACAAAGAAACTGTCAGAGCAGCAGAACTCTGAACCAACACTAATCATAACTAGTTTACTATAGTAACAGTTACATGTTTGAGTACACGTGCTGCGAATGAGAAGCACTTTATTCATTTTAGCTCCAAAGCGAGTTTTCACTTTGAACAAGAACAAAGTCTTTTTTACATGTAATTCACTTCTTACATGCGTAGGCCCAGGGGCAAACTGCGGCCCTCTGTGATACGCTACGTGGCCCACTGCCCTACTAACCCAAAGTAGTCGTTGAGATCATAAACACAAGTTCACGGTGTCATCCAGCCAGCTTCAGGCAGATAAACTTCCACTAACGGCGCTAATGTAGCTGGTGAGATGGTCATTTGTCATTCAGCCACCTTCAGCTCCGTCATAGCTGATTTTTTAACTAAGAACAGCCCAAACTGGGTCACAACTATTTTCAAATCCAGGTTGACGGCTCGTGGATAAGTCTGGTGAACTAAAAAGGCCCCATTACTAAAAAGTGAGGGTTGGATTTAATGACAATAGAAGAGATATTTCAGAAATACCATCACAAAATCTAGTGTTACTTCAAGGCAAAGTTCACAATTCATTTGAAATTTCTTGCGGTGCCGGTATCAGTCCACAAGTAATGAAAATAGTCCATAGAAGGTATATACGATGGAGTAGGGTTGGCAAAAGTATTGAAATTTACCCAAGAAACGGCCAAAAAGAGTCAAAAATGTGCTGCTCGCTGACCAGGGCTCAGGGTCAAAGAACTCCTGATGTAAACAGTATTTCTGGAGTCACCGCAGGAATCCATCTTTTTCCCCTCTGACATCTCCTGCTCCCTGTCCTCCGTCTTTCGTCTTCTCTCTCTTTCTGCAGCGGAAACGTCGCTCTCTGAGATTATGGAGCGCTAGGGAAAAGGCAGTCATTAAAGTTAGATTATACTCTTAGATTGGAGAGGCTGTTGTGTTAATGTGGCGCGGTGGGAATCCCTCGTGGGCAGGTCACCAGTCTTAAAGCTGCAGGCACACAAAAGGCCGCTCCGTCTGGTAATTAACTATTACCAGACCAGGATTATAGTTATAGATAGTCCAACACCATCAGCCAATCCAGAGTGGCCTCAAGGCAAAGATCTCACACCGGTCATTTGAACTGACGAATGATGCAAATAGTCATTAAAAACCATATATGATGGAGTAGGGTTGTCAAAGGTATTTCAAATCGTCAGATATTACTTGATACTACAAGGAGAATACCAACAAACTAAAGTATTAATACAATCAATGTTATCGATTTCAATACAAAATCCTTGAAATAGCAGCTCCATGTTTTAAGGCTGCAAAACCCTCACACACTTTTCTAACCCCGTGAGCTCACGACTGCTGAAGTGAGAGAGAGACCAGAGAAATCAAACATTAAACATGTTGGTTGTAGGTCTGAGCTGCTGCAAAAGCCGTGCATATACTGTAAAATACTGCTGCAGAGAAAACAGAGGGGCAGGAGCAGGACTGAGGGCTACGGGAAAGAGAGAGAGACCAGAGAGAGAGACCAGAGAGAGAGACCAGAGAGAGCACGAGACCAGAGAGAGACCAGAGAGACTAGAGAGACCAGCGAGACCAGAGAGCAAGACCAGAGAGAGGCCAGAAAGAGAGACCTGAGAGAGATGACGTGTTGTTGCAATAGTAATTCAATAGTGGGGGTTTTATATTCAGTGTATGTGTATTTTATATTACATTGTATCGTGCTTTTTATTCTGTCGGTGCACACAGAGTACCTTTTTTTGCAAATGTATTCCAATGTAGTTTTTATACTGCACATGGCCAATAAATGAATCTGAATCTGAAATGAATCTGGGGTTGTGGGTATTAAGGAGACCAGAGAGAATACAGAAAGAGACCAGAGAGACCAAAGAGAGGCCAGAGAAAGACACCAGAGAGAGACCAGAGAAAGAGATCAGAGAGAGACGCCAGAGATACAAGAAAGAGAGACCAGAGAGACGCCAGAGAGAGGCCAGAGAGAGAGAACAGAAGGAGAGCAGAGACCGACCAAAGTACACACAAAAATCAGCAAAACACACGCCGTGAAAGTTAAACCTTGTTATAGTGAAAGACCACGGCACAGATGAAACTTTATGATTTAAGTAAAGTCTGTAGTATGCACGAGAGACCAGAGAAAGAGCACCAGAGAGAGACCAGAGAAAGAGATCAGAGAGAGACGCCAGAGATACAAGAAAGAGAGACCAGAGAGACGCCAGAGAGAGGCCAGAGAGAGAGAGCAGAAGGAGAGCAGAGACCGACCAAAGTACACACAAAAATCAGCAAAACACACGCCGTGAAAGTTAAACCTTGTTATAGTGAAAGACCACGGCACAGATGAAACTTTATGATTTAAATAAAGTCTGTAGTATGCACGACACGTTCAAACCCGGATCCAAAGCAACTCTGTTTTAAGCCCCTCAGAAAAAAGCCAGTCTGTGCTTTTCAGGGCGGAACAAGCACACAGCCTTTTTTTAGATTCATAAGGCAAAAAAAAACATTGGCATTTATATTATTTGTGCCAAATTCTTTCGGCTTCACAGTCATACTTCTGTTTCTACCTCTCCCGTCCTTTCTCTGCAGCTGCTCTCACAAATAGCTGCAGTTTCTCCACCGCTGTAATTACAGTGCAATAAAAGATCTTTCAATTCCCGCCAAGAGCAAACGAAAACACACGATGAGCGATATATATGCCCTGCTCTCCGCCGCAGATGCCGTTATTCACCGTTTATATACGCAGTCCAAAGTGTTAAACATGGTGGTATTGTGCTCCATAAAGTCTTGGAGTGATGTCATGCACGTTTTATAAAGAGAAGATTTCCGAGGGTTTTCCAAAACTTCCAGAAACACATCCATCCAACACATCAAAACTTACAATATCTCATTTCTCAGTTCCGGGTTCACTTAAATAAACAGAATTTTATACTTGCTTCTTTATTATGCAAGAGTAAGACATTTCATTTCATTTTAGTGCAGAGTTATTGTTCACTTCTCGGTTTCCACAGACATTTTAGTGGCTCATTTTCTGAGTCACTATATCTACGTGAAACATGGTTAGAGCTGAAATCTGCCTTTTTGGGGAATCTCTATCACTTGGTTTTAAGCATATTTACCATCAAACTGCATCTCAAACATTCGGTAAAGGCCTATAATTCAATATTAGGGGTTCAAAACACATACAAACAAATGTATAGTGTTATTAATGCTCTTACATCTTAAAAAAATACATTGCTTTCTTCAAGGAGTGAACAACAAAGGGTTAAAGCTGCAGAATTTTAACAGCTAACCTTGCTCCATTTTGTATAATCTGAAATTCCATATTCAAATTTAAGAATTGGTCTGAATTTTTAAGGCCTGTTAGCAAATCCAATCATGTCCGTTTGTCCACTCTTCACGACTTGTCCAATAATCGTTGCGGCCAGAGTATATTATACCCGTCAACCGGCTGCGGTGAAGGATAGCTATTGATTTAGAGCGGGGGACGAATGAAACCTATTGGTCTCCGTGCTTCAAACGTGATCCGGGCGGTAAATCTGTCCACAGCAGCAGATGGAGCACGGGCTTATCTCTCGC